GTTCAGTCAGTCAATTCCAACTTTGCAAGATCTTTTTTTTTCCCCCGCGAGAAGTTGAAATTGACTGATTGAACTTTTTTTTTTTTTTTTTGCACACGGCAGCGGAGGTCTAAAGCGAAAAGGTTTTATAAATCTCAGCTGAAGGCCTAGGACTGGGGCAACGGCATGTGTGCCCACAGAGAGGGCTCTGAGTGCCATCTCTGGCACCCATGCCATAGGTTCGCCACCACTGTCCTAGTGACCAGTTTAGAGTGTATGCAAGAGAGGGATTTAACCATGAGTTATTTGACTGGCCTGTTGCTGGAAGAGGAACAGAAGTGGCTGGAAAGGGGTGAGGACAACGCACAGTCCAAGCCTAAAACTGCAATGTCCCAAGATGCCGGCAGAGTAGCTGAGAACATCTGCATGGCGAAACGCTGCTTCACGGGTTGTTCTACAGAGTTGACTACCAAGTGACTGCCACCTCTTCATTTCAAACCTTGTTGGGACAAGTGCTGCAATTTGAATGGCAATGTCATGCCTCCGTCGGAGCCTGAATCTGATGAGGAAAATGAGCTGGAACAGGATCCTATGGAGCAGCGGTTCTCAACCTGTGGGTCGGGACCCCATTCGGGGTCGAACGACCATTTCACGGGGGTCGTCAAACAACGCAGTCCGCCAATTTTTTTCCCCTTTTCCTTAGCTGTGCTACTCCCTTTTATTCTATTGGCTTTTGAAAGCCAATAGAATAGACTCTCTTGAATAGAGTCTAATTCTATTGGCTTTCAAAAGCCAATAGGAATTGTCCAGGCTGTCTCTGCCCTGCTGAGCCCACCAAAAGTCCCATTCTGCAAACGGTGCTGCAAGTTGTCTGCAGTGAAGGCGAGCTGTCTGGAAGTTTCCACCCCTCCCTGCTGAGCAACTACTACAAATGTAAGTAAAAGAGGGCCAGGGGTGGGAGGCCGGCGGGTGCAGGGAGGGTTGCTGGCGCGCGTGGGGCCCGGCGGGTGCCTTACCTCCCTTGGGCTGGGCCAGTTGGTGGCCCAGCCGGTTGTCCGTCTCTGCCGCTTGCCAGCTACGCCTCAGCCGGCACGGGGCGGCACCACACATGCGCGGCGCTCCCGGGCAGGGAAAGTCCTCAACTTACAACCGGTTGGGTAGTCCTTGACTTATGACCGGTTGGGGGGTTGCGGCATTAAAAAGGTTGAGAACCACTGGCCTGGAGGAACGTTGTCCATGGGGTTGCGATGGGTCAGACACGAGGTGTCTGTGGCTTCAGAGCAATGTGGGGAAGAGCAGGCCGAGGCGGGCCAGGGCCCTTCAGGATTGGGACAGGAGGAACAGGAGAGGCAGAGTTCAGGCGATGAGCAAGGGCCATCCCCACCTGATCCTAGAGCACAGAGTGGAGAGAGGGAGGAAACAACCCAGGCAGGCTCAACTACCCGGGAGGAGAGCGTCCCGCCCCTCTCCACAAGGCACACCTGGGGATTGAGATTTAAGGAGACGGATGCTGTGGGGTGAGGCATTTGTCGAGAAGAAACGCTAATTCCTTGGAGTTTTGTGTGTGTTGTTGCTGATCTCTTGTTCTGTGACTTCTGCTTGGAAACCCTGAAACTCTTGACCATCGGACTGGCTGACAACCGTTGCTTGGATGTTCAAAGATCTCGGACTGTATTTTGACTTCCCTTTTGAAACTGTGCAGGCAAACGTGTATTCACACAGACACGTTAGGTTTATGCTGCATATGTCATTTCCTTGTTATCTCTGTGGCCTTGAGTAAAATCCTCTCCTAATCAGACTGTATGTGAAACTGCTTGCAGCCAGAGGTGGCTGAAAGGGTGTGTGTGTTTGGAGGCTGGCCAGAAACGTGGGAGCATTTGGGGAAAATTTGGAGCAATTAAAGGGCGATTTGAATTACCAGCTGACTGCATTGCCTCTGTGCTGTGCCCTGGGTCATCACAGGCAATTATGTCGAAAAGTAATGTAATGTTGTAGTTTTCTAATGTGTATAATAAAAAGTTCCGTATCTGTGAGTGTCTGTCATTGATAATCAAGAGTTGATTTATTTCCGAATTGCCCTCGTATGGGCAAACTTTTCCTGTTTAATCCTTGTGCCGTAATGCAGTTGGGGTTACAGTTTAGTAGGCTGAAGGGTTTATGCCTTGTCCTAAAGAATCAACTTTAATGGACACTCTCTGGATCTTTTGGAGGGGTTCTCTATCCGAAGGTATTCCGTGAACCCCCTTTCAGAAACTGTAGGATGAGATTTAACGCCAGGATGAAGCCATGTCCCAACTGAGATTGGTAGGGGTTCTTTTTTTTGTTGTTGTTGTTGCTTTTGGGACGGGTTGGGATGACAAACAGGATTTTCGTTTCACTTTGGGAAGCTCTGTAGCTTTATTTGCTCTGATCAGCAAAGGTCTTTTTTGGAGGTGCCTCTGCTGTTGCCCCGGAGAAGATTGAAATACCAAATCAGAGACCTTTTCCCCTCCTCCTTTCCTGTCTGATCTTCTGGGGCTGAGTCTCCTTTAGGGTGGCCAGACCGAAGTCCTCCTCCTCCTAATATAGGGGTGCCAAACTCAATTTCATTGAGGGCTGCATCAGCATTGGGGTTGCCCTAGGGATGTGTGTGGTCAGGGTGGGTGCGGCCTACTGGATGGAGTGGGTGTGGCCTACTGGGTGAGCGTGCCCAGCTCTACATCGTTCGCGTCAAGGGTGCCTGTGGGGGCCTGGGCAGGAGTAGGACAGATCTGAGGGTCTCTGGCAGAATGGGGTGGGACCAGGGCAAGCGCCAAGTTATGGTGCATTTCTTCATTCCTCACAAAGAGTGACACCTCCCCAGCATGCACCCAGGGGGCGGGGCCTACACAGCAGGGGCTGGTTCCTCACTGTTTCTAGACAGCCTTGTGGAGCTAAGACTGAATGCATTTCAGCATAGATGTCCACCACAAAATTGTACATTGGCTCCCGGTCGGCCTGGGCCAGGGCCAAGGCAGCGGGGGCCGTTCCCTCACTGTTTCCAGGATGGCTTCGCAGGCCACATGAAACCACTTCACGGGCCGCATCCGACCCCCGGGCCTTGTCTTTGACATGTCTGGCCTAACACACAAAACACACACAGAGAAGTTAAAGTTTGATCTGGTTTTGCTCAGAGCATCAGACAAATAGTCTGGGGGGACCCAGATAATCAGCTGGTCTCTCTCTCATCCCGGTAGGAAAAGCAGAGGAATGACTCAATTCAGACATCCCACTGAAGGACACCTGTGGGGCAGGTAGAGAGGAGGGGGAGGGGTTGGCGTGGAGGGTATTGTGTGAACCCCGAAGCGAGTGTAATGGAGTACCACACTGGAGGTGGCTATTGGACTGAGTGCAAATACCACGTGCCTCCTGCTTCCTGTCCCAGTTTGTTTTTAATTTGACATTACTGCACCTTCGTTGTTTATCCCATCGTTTATCCTTTCATTACTTTGATACTATTATGTTTACACTTATATTCATTTCTCCATGTTTACTGTCATAAGTCCCCCAGAATAGGCCCTCGGCAAGATGAGTGGCAAAAAATGTAAGTAAGTAAGTAAGTAAATAGCACGAAGAAAATTTGCATTGTAGGGAGGAGACAGAGCTGTGAAATGGATCTATGTAGGGCAGTGATGGTGAACCTTTTAGAGACTGAGTGCCCAAAAACCCGCCCGCCCCCGCTCCGCCCTCACCCCTCACGCTCAGGGCCATCCACGGCACGCAGATCGCCCAGGTGGCCCTGCAGTGCCATGGTGGCTACGCTCTCCACCCACACCCCACAGCATCATCTGCTGCCCAGCTGTCATATGCTTGGCTGTGCAGCTCCGCAGAGGCTGCACCCGGGGGTGACTCTTCTCCGGGGGGGGGGCTGCTGGTGAGGAGAGGGCTACGGGGGGAGGTGACAGCATGCGTGCGTGCCCATAGAGGGCTCCGAGTGCTGCCTCTGGCACTAGTGCCATAGGTTCGCCACCACTGATGTAGGGAGAGGAAATTTGTCTCAAGGAAGCCAGGATCAATTAGCCGCGACGGGGTGGAGCTCCTAAGTGGACAAATCAGAAAAAGCAAGAAAAGAGGAGAAACGGGTTTCTTGCACTGACCTCAACTCTCTTTGCTCCTCTTTCGCTTATGCGGTGCCTGAATCTTTTGCCTCGCCTGTAGGTAGTCCTCGACTTAACGACCACAGTTGGGATTGGAATCTCGCTTGTTGAGCAACGCGGTTGTTATGTGAGGTATCCCACGACCGCTTTGCTCAAGAACTGAAATTCTGCACTCACTGTTTACGGTGGTTAAGTGGTTTCACTGGTCATTAAGCGAATGAAGTCCCAAGTAAGAAGCACGGGCTTGTCTCGGGGTGGGGGGGCAGCAGGGGAGTCAATCGGAGCCCCAACACAGTCCACGTTTGACTTAAGGGGCTCCTGGAGAAGCTTAGAGATGCTTTGGGACACGTTGCTTAGCAACAGTATGGAATAAGCGGCTTGGAGAATGGCGCAAGGCTGCAAAGGCCACAGGTGTGGGGATGAAGGCTGCATTTTCTCAGTGCCAGCTGGCTGAAATGGCTGAAGGCCCAGCTCCCCCCCCTTAAGGGACCACTCTGGCATTTCCACCCCATTGCAGGGCCCAGATGGGGTGGCTGAGGCTTTGGGGGGGGTGGCTTTAGATTTGCTTCATACTGCAGCTCTCTTAATTCATGTGTGGGCTGTGCTGGACCTCCAGAGTCCCCGCAACAACCCCCTCTTCAGGCACCCCTGCAGTTCTTGGTTGGGTCTCCCTCCACTTAACAACCCACAGAGCCACTTAATGACCACCAGAACAGAAGAGTTTGCATCCTAGAGAGGTGGGGGCTCCATCACTGCAGATTTTGTCGAGGGACGTTCTGAGGTTCTGGACGGGGGGGGGGTTGCACTGGAAGACCATGTTGGTCCATCCCAAAACTCAGATTGTGTGTGATTCTCTACCTTTCTCAAAAGGAAATATTATTCTCCATTTCTTTTCCTTTCTAACAGTGGATAAAATATTTGTGACCAAGATTCACCTGCAAGCCAACTATCAACAGACGGTAGAAAATCAGAGCAAAGCAACGGCTGCCAGAAAGGATGGAGCCTGGAAAACTCTTGGATCCCCCGTCAGACACAGGCAGCACTCCGGAAAACCACAAAAAAACCCATGAATGCTCAGAGTGTGGGAAATCCTTTGCTCAACGGTCCCTCCTTTTGACCCACAGGAAGTTCCATGTGGGAAGCGGATCCAGTGAAGGTTTGGAGGGGGGGAAATCCTTCTCTGGAAAAGACGCCAGAGATCTTAGAAGCTCCCCCAGACTAAAGCCCTATAAATGTGAGGAATGTGACTTATGCTTTGGTCGAAAATCACACCTTCTTAGACATCAGAAAATCCACACTGGAGAGAAAACTTACCAGTGTCTGGAATGTGGGAAGTTTTTCTGTCGAAAAACCACTCTCAGAGACCACGAGACAATTCACACCGGGGAGAAACCTTACAAGTGCTGGGAATGCGGGAAGAGCTTTTCTCGGGATGCAAATCTTTGGCGCCATGAGAAGATTCATGCAGGAATAAAATCTTACAAATGCTTTGAGTGTGGAAAATGTTTTGCCCACAACTCGGCTCTTTGGAGTCATGAGAAAACGCACAGGGGGCAGAAAAATGAAAAGTGCCTCGAATGTGGGAAATGTTTTACCTGGAAATCAAACCTGGTGCAACATCAGAGACTTCACACCGGAGAGAGACCCTATGTATGCCCAGAGTGTGAGAAACAATTTATGTATTCTTCTGGACTTCGGAGACACCAGAAGAGGCACAAAGGAGAGAAACCCTATCAATGTGGGGAGTGTGGGAAAGGTTTTATTTCGCCGGGGGAGTGTCAGGATCATGAGAGAATCCACACGGGGGAGAAACCATTCAAATGTGGAGAGTGTGGGAAATGCTTTACCCAAAAACAAAGCCTTGGAAGCCATCACAGGGTCCATACAGGAGCGAAGCCGTACAGATGCACAGAATGTGGAAAATGTTTTGTTCAAAAGGGAGCCCTTTGGATACATCATAAAACCCACACAGGGGAGAAGCCATATCGATGCATAGAATGTGGAAAATTTTATCGTACCGTATCAACCCTTACAAATCATATGAAAATTCACACCGGGGAAAAAAACCACAAATGTTTAGACTGTGGGAGAGCATTTGCTCGGGCAACTCTCCTCAGAAACCACAGCCGAATTCATACAGGAGAGAAGCCCCACAAATGCTCGGAGTGTGATAAATGTTTTTCTCAAAAAAATACTCTTTTGAAGCATCAGCGAACCCACACTGGAGAAAAAAACATATAAATGTCTGGAGTGTGGGAAATGTTTTGCCCAGTCTTCAGCTCTTCACAGGCACACCAGAAGTCACACAGGGGAGTGGCCTTACAAGTGTGCAGAGTGTGAGAATCCTTTTCCTTGTAAATCAAAGCTAAAAATACATCAGAAAGTCCACAGCAGCGATAAAACCCTTGAGTCACAAAGAATGAGGGAAACATCTTTTTCAAAAGTCACATCTTAACCGTTCACCAGGAACTTTACACAGTCACAGAAGGGAAATCGTACAGTTGTTTGGTGTGGGGAAAATGCTTTTCCTAGTCAAGTAACCTTAAGTATCATAATCAAGCAAAAGTGCATAAATGTTGGAGTGAGTTTTCGCTCACAAAGCAGCAGCAGTAGTAACTTACCAGAGTCATTACACAAGACAAAATATTTACCAATATTAGGGGAGTCTAGTTAATGTATTACAGAGTCCTCGATTTATCAACTCAATTGGGAAAGCGTTTGTTACACTCATAACTGAAGGCACTCATATGACGAGACCTGATTTTATGATTATTTTTGTGCTCGTTAAGCAAATCACTGCAGCGATAAGTATAAAGCCATTCTTCCAAATCTGGTGGTTGTTGTTTTTTTTCACTAAAAACTGCAAAAAAAAGTATGGCAGAAATTAGCAAAAGACACTGCAAATCATGATCCCTTAGTTGCAAGATAATGCAACTGGTTATTAAAGCCAGCCGGTTCCCAAGCGCCCATAATTTAGCCACGAAACCTTTGGGAACAGGGACACCATTTTAAAATAGCCAGAATTTTTTTATGGGCCATTAAGGCTTGTGGTAATTTTCCAACGGTGGTTCTGTGATGTCATAGTCCAGGACTATCAAATGAAATCTGGATAAACTTTGGAGGACTCACAAAAGGGGGTCATTGTTGAAATGCTTGGAATACTGTAAAATACTGACCTCATTGAGACCTTTGGAGGCCCCAAAGAATCCACAAGAAATGAAACTGTGCATTTGGTGTGTGGGAAATATTTTTCTGGAATATCTACCTGGGTCTGCAGGTATAAAGGCCCTTAAGAGAAACCCTCCATGTGCTCGGACTACTGGACACTTTCCGGGTGACAAACCACATCAGATCTTGGTGTGTGGAAAATCTGTTCCTTGAACTGTTCTCATATATTTGTGAGTCCGCACAGAAAGGAGCCTTAGAAATCGTTGTAGCATAGAAAAAGTTTTATCTTGAAATCCTGTTTTTTTTTTTAATTCAGTCCATTGTGGAGCCTTAATAAAAGGATTTTCACTATCCTACAGCATGTTGTTAATTTCTCCAGAGTGCCTTCTTCCTCCATTGTTCACCACAGTGGTGAATAATGCTGAGGGTTTAGCTGACTTCCTGGGCTGAAAGGGAATTATAGTTTAAGGTCCCCCCTCTGACTCTGGGGCATCAAAGCTCCAAAGCATCATGACAGCTCCCAGCCTCTTCGAACATAGCAGATCCCCCACTGCCTCTCCCTCCCGCCCCCCCTCGACCCACTCCCCCCCCCCAAGTCGAGATTGAAATATTTTGCAGGGCCTCTGGCCCAGCCCCTCCCTCTCTGTCCTCAGTCAGGCTCCGAAAATACCCAGCCTGTGAGTGCCTAGGACTTTTCACCACTGCCACATGCTCCTCGCACCCCTTCATGCCCGCCCTCCAGCCACAGACAATTCAGAAGAGGCCTTCATCCAGCAGTAGATAGACAATAGTTAAAATGATGACACACATACACATACATACATATATGAGAGAGAGAGAGAGAATGTGTGTGTGTGTGTGTGTGTGTGTAAGAGGAAGGGAGTGAGAAAGTGTGTGTGGAGAGGGAGTGAGGGAAGGGAAGGAAGGAGGAAGGGAGAGCAAGAGAAAGTGGGAGGGAGGGAGAGTTTTTGAGAGGGAGCGAGAGAAAGTGAGGGAGGGAAGGAGGGAGAGTGTGAGGGAAGGAGAAAGAAAGTGCATGACGGAGGGAGAGATGGAGGAGAGAGAAAGTGTTTTTCAGAGAGGGAGGGAGGGAGGGAAAGTGGGAGGGAGGGAGAAAGTGTGAAGGAGGGGAAAAGTGACAAAGTGCATGAGGGAGAGGGAGAGGAAGTGTGTGAGGGAGGGAGAGGAAGAGAAAGTATGTGAGGGAGGGAAAAAGGGTGTGTGCATGAGGGAAGGAGAGATGGAGACAAAAAGTGTATGTGTGAGAAAAAGGGGGAAGAGAGAAAGAGAAAAAGTGTGTTTGAAAGAGGGAGGGAGGGAGAAAGTGTGAAGGAGGGGAAAAGTGACAGAAAGTGTGCATGAGGGAGAGAGGGAGAGGAAGTGTGTGAGGGAGGGAGAGGAAGAGAAAGTATGCGAGGGAGGGAAAAAGAGGGTGTGTGCATGAGGGAAGGAGAGATGGAGACAAAAAGTATGTGTGTGAGAGAAAGGGGGAAGGGAGAGAGAAAGAAAAAGTGTGTTTGAAAGAGGGAAGGAGAGAGAAAGTGAAGGAGGGGAAAAGTGACAGAAAGAAAGTGTGCATGAGGGAGAGAGGGAGAGGAAGTGTCTGAGGGAGGGAGAAAGTGTGTGAGGGAGGGAGAGGAAGAGAGAAAGTATGCGAGGGAGGGGAAAAGAGAGGGTGTGTGCATGAGGGAAGGAGAGATGGAGACAAAAAGTGTATGTGTGTGAGAGAAAGGGGGAAGGGAGAGAGAAAGAAAAAGTGTGTTTGAAAGAGGGAAGGAGGGAGAAAGTGAAGGAGGGGGAAAGTGACAGAAAGAAAGTGTGCATGAGGGAGAGAGGGAGAGGAAGTGTGTGAGGGAGGGAGAAAGTGTGTGAGGGAGGGAGAGGAAGAGAGAAAGTATGCGAGGGAGGGAAAAAGAGAGGGTGTGTGCACGAGGGAAGGAGAGACGGAGACAAAAAGTGTATGTGTGTGAGAGAAAAAGGGGGAAGGGAGACAGAGAGAGAAAAAGTGTGTGTGTGTTTGAAAGAGAGGGAGGGAGGGAGAGAGAGAGAAAATGTCGCTGCCTGCCAACACTGCTCCCCACCACCACCACCAGTGCCTCCGCAGAGGGCCGGATCCTGGACCGACCACCCCGGACTGGCTGCTGGGAGGCGCGGCGGTTGGTCGCTTGGAGGGAATCGCTGGACTTCCAAGATCCCTCCGGGAAACCCCCGCGGCGGGGCGACGGAGGTGGGGGGCTGCGGGTCCAGGGGCGTCGGAGAAACGCCGGCAGAGCTTCAGCTGGGTCTGAACGCTCGCTGGAGAGCGGGGGGGGGGGCGCGAAGGGGCCGCAAACAGGTGGGGGGAGGCGAACAGTCCCATCCCAGAAGAGGGGGTTCCCCTCGCCCCGGCTCTTTCCCACTTTTTCCCTCCAGGGATTCACTGGGGCGCCGCCTCCGTCTGTTCCCTCTGCAGCACCTGCCCAGCTGCCCTTCCAGGATCTCAGGAATCCAGGAGGGATCCGGCCGGGGCTTCTTCCCGTCCACCCCCCCCCCCCTTGGCGCTCCCCCAACCTCAGCTGCAAGGAAGACCCTGCCCCGCTTCTCTTTCCGTCCCGTCTCGGCCGCGGGGGGGGGGACCCCGGACCCCGGGAAGGAGGGGAAGGAGAGGAGACTGCTAAGAGGCGGGGCCGCAAGGCGGAGGCGGAGCCCAGGCGGAGAGCAGAAGCCCCGCCCCCGCCTCTCTCCTCCCACTCGCTGGATCTCCGCTTCTCTCCGTGTGTCCCGCTTCGCCCTGGGAGGATCGGTGCTGGATCCCGCGGGAGAGGCTTCTGGGTCCCGCTCCGGGCAGGTCCGGCCTCCGGGCCGCCCCTCCCGCTAGGAGAGCTTTTCCCCCCCGCCAGGAGAAAGGTAGCTGCGGATCCCGCTCTTCGTCTTGCCTGGGGAGATTCGGCTCTGGCGTCGCCTGCAGGGAGCGGATCCCTCCCTTCCCTCCAGGGGGGCAAAGGGGGATCCCTCCCCGGGCTGGATCTGCCCCCTCCTCGCCCGGCCGAGGCTCCCCGTGGGGCTTCGGGTGGATCCGGGAAGGAGCTTTTGGGGAAGTTGCTTCAGAAGGTCTCTGTGTGGTCCGTCAGAGCAGGCAGTCTCTGAGCATGCATCTCCCTCAATTGCGGTGGAAAAAAATGGAGTAAGCGGAGCTTTAAAACATTTTTTGAGATTTGCACTGTGGTATTAACGCAACTGACCTCATTGCAAGTGGGAGCGGAGGGTTTGGGGGAAAGAAGACAAGTTTAAATTAACTGAATTGAGCTCATGTGGTCTTAGCCCACGTGAGATCCTCTTTTTTGTGCTCAGCTTAAAAGGCCAGGAAGGGAACCCTTTGTTTTTACGGGAATGGTTACGTTGCTTCTGCTTTTAAAAACTGTATGGAATTCCTAAAAAGCATTTCCCCCCTTTTTTTTTTTTTGCCCTGAGGAGGCTGTGATGAGGCAGCCCCTTGTTGGTGGAGGTTTTACAAAGCATACAAAGTTCTAAGGAAGTTTTGAGGCTGGTCTTGTAAAGCAGGTAATAGAACAAGCGGATGGCTAGAAGGCTGCCTTACATAATTTTAAATATTTTTCAAAATGCCTATCCAAGGCAGCTCCAGAGACCTGGAATCTTTGTTGCCTTGCAGCCTCCAAAAAGCATAAGAAAGAGCAGCCCTTTTCACACACGCTCTGCCCCATCTGATCTCTCTCATCTTCCACTGAGTTTTCTTACTCACAACCCTGCATTGGTCCCTGTTGGACTTCATCTTGCTGGTTTCTTCCCTTTTGGCTCATCAAGATCTTCTTCAAATCACGATTCTCTCTCCATGATTTTGTGTCCTCAACAAATAATTCCATATTCTCCTCCTGCCTCCAGGTCATTTATAGATTATGCTCAGCATCTGAGCCTTTCTCATGTCTCTTTGCAGGAGACCAGTGAGGATGTGGCCGTGAGCGCCACAGAAGAAAAGGGGCGTCCTTGGATCGGGACCCGCCAACTCCATTCTAGAGAATTTGGAAATCGAGGCCTACTTGGAGAAGCAGCCTCCTGCACAAAGGGCTAGTCGGTCAGGCAAGATCAAACCGGTCAACGGTGAGGATCATACCTGGCCTTCATTCAGAGCGGTAATGAGTGACCCAGAGGCCTCTTAGCTGCCACTTTAAAGGTGAGTAAACATATCTTTCATTTCACTTCGAGGAAGCTCTCTGTAGTTTTATTTTCTCTGATCAGCCAAGGTCCTTTTACAAGTGGCTTGGCTGTTACGCCTGGAGAAGGATGAAATGCCAAATCTGAGCCATTTCCCCATCCTCCTTTCCTGTCTGGTAATAATAATAATAATAATAATAATAATAATAATAATAATAATAATAATAATGTTGGAAGGGACCTTGGAGGTCATCTATTCCAACCCCCTGCTCAGGCAGGAAACCCTATACCATTTTGGACAAATGGATGTCCAGTTTCTTCTTAAAAACCTCCAGTGTTGGAGCATTAACCACTGGTTAATTCAGTGGTTCTCAACCTTTCTAATGCCGCGACCCCATAATACAGTTCCCCATGTTGTGGTGACCCCCAACCACTTATACATCACCGGGTGCCAGGGGCGTGGCCAAAGAAAAGGGGAAAAAATGGCGGACAGCCTTGTTTGGCGACCCCCGTGAAATGGTCGTTCGACCCCAAATGGGGTCCCGACCCACAGGTTGAGAACCACTGGGTTAATGTTCTAACTGTCAGGAAGTTTCTCCTTAGTTCTAGTTTGCTTATCTCTTTGGTTAGTTTCCATCCGTTGCTTCCTGTCCTGCCTTCAGGCGCCTTGGAAAATAGCTTGACTCTCTCTTCTTTTTGGCAGCCCCTGAGATACTGGAATACTGCTATCATGTCCCCCCTCGTCCTTCTCTTCATTAAACTAGACATACCCAATTCCAGCAGTCTTTCCTTATATGCTTTAGCCTCCACCTTCATGGTCCCTTTTAAGTCTAAGATCTACCCCTCTCAAAAGGAAATATTATTCTCATCTTCTTTTTCGTTCTACCAGCAGGAAAATAAATGTGACCTGCAAGCCAACTATCAACAGATAGTAGAAAATCGGCACGAGGTAGCAGCTGCCAGAAAGGATGGAGTCTGGGAAACTCTCAGATCCCCCGTCAGACACGGGCAGCACTCCGGAAAAGCACCAAAGAACCCATGAATGCTCAGAGTGTGGGAAACCCTTTGCTCACTGGTCCCACCTTTTGACCCACAGGAAGGTCCATGTGGGAAGTGGATCCATGCAAGGTTTGGAGGGTGAGAAATCCTTCTTTGGAAAAAAACCCAAAGATCTTAGAATCCCCCCCAGACTAAAACCCTATAAATGTGAGGAATGTGACTTACGCTTTGGTTGAAAGTCATACCTTTTTACACATCAGAAAATCCACACTGGAGAGAAACCTTAACAGTGTCTGGAATGTGGGAAATTTTTCCGTGAAAAAGCCCCCCTCAGAGACCACGAGATAATTCACACAGGGGAGAAAACTTACAGGTGTTGTTTGTGTCTCTTTCGCCCCCTATCCACCCTCCATCCTCTCGTATTCCCAGTGGAAGAGACCCCCAAGAGACTCAGGTCACCAGCTCTGAACTGGGACAGGAAAATCTCTTTAAAGATTGTAAAGTAAAACTTCCAAGGTTTCATGGAACTGTATGGAAGTCTGTAATCTTCTGGAGTGGGACTTTTTAAAAACATTTCAGGCCATTGAACAGCTTTAAGAATGAGGCTTAATAGCTTTCAGTATTATTTAATTATTAAATGTTTATTAAGTGGATGTTTATACTAAATGGAAAGAGGAAATAGTTATGTTGTTGGGTGTTTTTATTAATTTTTACTGCATCTTTGTCGATCAATAGATTGGGAGATATATTTGTAGAAAATGGGATGAGGTATAGAATGAAGATGCACCAAGTTGTAATTGCAGAGATAATGATACATTACACCCTCGGGATCAATCACACTGTTGGACCACAGGTTATTTAGCACATACATCGTAGATTGTAAGAAGCGTGACTTTGAATGATCCAATATTTGGATTAATGTGAATCATAAATTGATACTAGGTTGCGTTTCATGTGATCCAAAATTCAGTTAATGTACAATTGTTTGGTGTGGGGAAAAATGCTTTTCCTAGTCAAGTAACCTTAAGTATCATAATCAAGCAAAAGGTTGAAGTGAGTTTTGCTCACAAAGCAGCAGCAGTAGTAACTTACCAGAGTGATTACACAAGACAAAATATTTACAAATATTGGGGGAGTCTAGTTAATGTATTGTAGAATACAGATATAATCACAATTGATAAAAGGATTGTCAAAGTCATAGCTCATTAAACAAGTCACTGCAGTGATAAGTATAAAGCCATTCTTCCAATTCTGGGTTTTTTTTTTTACCCAAAACTGCAAAAAATGCCAGAAATTAGCAAAAGACATTACAAATTATGGTTGCAAGATAATGCAACTGGCTGTAAAAGCCAGCCGGTTCCCCAAGTGCTCATAATTTAATCACAAAACCTTTGGGAACAGGGACACAATTTTAAAATAGCCAGAATTTATTTATGGGCCATTAAGGCTTGTTGTAATAAATGATGTCATAAGTCGAGGACTGCCTGTAATGAAACCTGGATAAATCCTGGAGGATTCGCAAAAAAGGGTCCTTGTATAAATGCTTGGAATATTGCAAAATACTAACCTCACTGAGACCTCTGGAGGCCTCCGAGGATCCACAAGAAAAATAAATTGTGCGTTTGGTGTGTGGGAAATATATTTTTGGGGTCTACAGGTAAAAATGCCCTCCAGAGAAACCCTGCAGATGTTCGGACTACTGGACACTCCTTCCGGCTGACAAACTGCATCAGAGCTTGGTGTGTGGAAAATCTATTCCTTGAAATGAGACAATTGTTGTACATTTGTGAGTCCCCACACAGGAGCTCCAGAAATCTTTGTAGCATAGAAAACGTTTTAATTTTAAATCCTGACCTTTTTAAAAAAAATAAAAAACATTTCAGTCTATTGTGCAGCCTTGATAAAAACCATTTCACTATTCTACAGCATGTTGTTAATTTGTCTGGAGTTCCCTCCCCCCCCCCCCCCGCATTGTTCACCACAGTGGTGGGCTTAGCTAACTTCCTGGGCTAAAAGTGAATCATAGTTTAAGGTCGCCCTCTGGCTCTTGGGCAGCCAAGTCCCAAAGCATCATGGCAGCTCCCAGCGTCTTCAGGCTTAGCCGATTCCCCCCCCCCCCCGCCATTCCTTCCCCCCCCCCCCCCCATCCTCAGACTCCAGAAGCACCAGCCATAGAAGGTCCTACTCAGTGTTTCCAACCTTGACAATTTAAGGCATGTGGACTTCAACTCCCAGAATTCCACAGCCAGCATTGCTGGCTGTGGAATTCTGGGAGTTGAAGTCCACATGCCTTAAAATTGTCAAGGTTGAGAAACACTGGTCTAGCTGCACTTTTCGCCTCCATCACATGCTCCTCGGGCCCTCTTCACGCCCACCCACCAACCACAGCCAATTGACAGAACAGGACTTCATCCAGCAGTGGATAGACAATGATTAAAATGATGACACGCACACATAGATACCTACAAACTTTCAAAATGGTCATCATCAAGATAGTAGTAAAGGTTGCCCTGGATTGACAGTCCCAGCTGGTATGCATCTATCTATCTATCTATCTATCTATCTATCTATCTATCTATCTATCTATCTCTCTCTCTCTCTCTCTCTCTCTCTCTCTCTCTCTATCTATCTATCTATCTATATCATTCTATCATCCATCCATCCATCCATCTCTATCTATCTCATCATTCTATCATCCATCCATATCTATCTATCTATCTATCTATCTATCTATCTATCTATCTATCTATCTATCTATCTATCTATATCATTCTACCATCCATCCATCCATCCATCCTTCCATCTCTATCTATCTATCTATCTATCTATCTATCTATCTATCTATCTCATCATTCTATCATCCATCCATATCTATCTATCTATCTATCTATCTATCTATCTATATCATCATTCTACCATCCATCCATCCATCCTTCCATCTCTATCTATATCATTCTATCCATCCATCTATCTATCTATCTATCTATCATCCATCCATCCATCCCTATCTATCTATATCATCTCTCTCTCTCTCCCCCTCCCTCCCTCCTTCTCTCTCTCTCTCCCCCTCCCTCCCTCCTTCTCTCTCTCCTCCCTCCTCCCTCCTTCTCTCTCTCTCCCCCCCCTCCCTCCTCTCTCTCTCCCCTTCCCTCCCTCCTTCTCTCTCTCTCCTCTCCCTCCCCCTCTCTCTCTCTCTCTCCCCCTCCTCCCTCCTTCTCTCTCTCTCCTCCTCCCTCCCTCCTTCTTCTCTCTCTCCTCCCCTCCTCCTCCTCTCTCTCTCTCCCCCTCCCTCCCTCTCTCTCTCTCTCCCTCCCTCCTTCTCTCTCTCTCCCCTCCTCCTCCTCTCTCTCTCTCCTCTCTCCCTCTCCCTCCCTCCTTCTCTCTCTCTCCCCTCCCTCCTCTCCTCTCTCTCTCTCTCCCCTCCTCTCTCTCCTCTCTCTCTCTCCCTCCCTCCTCTCTCTCTCTCTCTCTCTCTCCCTCCCTCCCTCCTTCTCTCTCTCTCTCTCCCTCCCTCCCTCCTTCTCTCTCTCTCTCTCTCCAGGATCGGGCAGGCGACCCTTTTCTATGGGAAGGGGAGGGTCGCAGGCATACCCACACAAACCCTTTCCCTTTTAACCCCCTGCGTTGTGCCTTGACGCCTATGAATTGCCAGGAGGGCGGGGGTGAACGAGGAGGGGGAGGCGAAAAGTCCCACTCCGGCCGAAGAGGAGCCCTCCTCGCACGGGGGGGGTGATGGTGGGAAGCATCGGGGGAGGGAGTTCCCCTCAGCCCCGGCCCCTTTCGACTTTCCCCCGCCCCAGGGATTCACTGGGGCGTCCCCTCCGTCTGTTTCTCCTGGGCACCTGCCCAGCTGCACTTCCGGGATCTTCGGGATCCCGAAAGGATCCGCTGGGGGCTCGTTCCTCCCTCTGGCGCTGCCCCAACCTCTCCTGCCCCGCTACTCCTTCCGTCCCGTCTCAGCCACGGAGGGGATCCCGGGCCCTGCCTTCTCTCCCCCCCCCTTCGGGAGTGGGTCTTCCTCGGGGTCCGCATCCCCCCCCCGCCCTCTTCTCCAGCCTGCGGGAAACGCCGCAATCCTCCCAATTCCCTCCGCGACTATTTCGCGGCCGTGGCGGAGCTTCAGTTTCCAGCCAGATGCCGAAGCAGGAGGCAGCCTCGCCCGGGCACAGCGGGGCACTCTTCGCATGGGCAGAGGAACCCCGGGAGGCGGATGCCCAGCGGAGGAAGAACAGGGAGTCCCGCCTGGGACGGCAGGGGAGGGAGGGGGAGGAGTTGAGGTTGCTAAGGGGCGGGGCTGCCAGGCGGAGCCCAGGAGGAGAGCAGAAGCCCCGCCCCCGCTTCCACCTTCCCACGCGCTGGATCTCCGCTTCCCTCCCGCCTGTCCCGCTTCGCCCTGGCAGGATCGGCGCCGGATCCCTCGGGAGAGGCTTCTGGATCCCGCTCGGGGCAGGTCGGGCTGCTCCCCCTCCGGCCTTTGGGGCGCCCCTCCCGCCAAGAGAGCTTCCCCCCCCCGCCAGGAGAAAGGTAGCTGCGGATCCGGCAATTCGGCTTGCAGGGTTTTCCTTGGGGAGATTCGGCTCTGGCGTCGCCTGCAGGGAGTGGATCCCTCCCTTCCCTCCAGGGGGGCAAGGGGGGTCCCTCCCCGGGCTGGATCTGCCCCCTCCTCGCCCGTCCCAGGATCCCCGCGGGGCTCCGGGTGGATCCGAGCTTTTGAGGAAGTTGCTTTTAGAAGGTCTCTTTGAGGTCCGTTTGAACAGGAAGCCTCTGAGCTTCCCTTTTCCTCATGTGCAGTTGCAAAAAGAGGAGCGAAGTGTTAGCTTTAAAGGATTTTTTTGAGATATTCACAGACTGATTTCAGTGCAATGGGGAGGGAAGGTTTGGGAGACAGAAAAGGTTTAAATGCTTTGAATTGAGTTTTAAACTCAATTGCGTGAGACCAGTGAGGATGTTGGGGGTTTTCTTAAACCCCTAAGACAGTGGTTCTCAACCTTTTTAATGCCGCGACCCCCAACCGGTCGTAAGTCGAGGACTACTCAACCGGTCGTAAGTCGAGGATTACTCAACTGGTGCAGCACCATTTGCAGAATGGGACTTTTGGCAGGCTCAGCAGGGCAGAGACAGCCTGGAAAATTCCTATTGGCTTTTGAAAGCCAATAGAATTAGACTCTATTCAAGAGAGTCTATTCTATTGGCTTTCAAAAGCCAATAGAATAAAAGGGAGTCGCACAGCTAAGGAAAAGGGGGAAAAAATGGCGGACTGCGTTGTTTGGCGACCCCCGTGAAATGGTCGTTCGACCCCAAATGGGGTCCCGACCCACAGGTTGAGAACCACTGCCCTAAGAGATCCTTTTTCTTTGAGCTAAATCTAAAAGGCGTACAATAAAGTCCTTTGGCTTTATGCTAATGTTTATTTTGCTTCTGCTTTCAAAAGCTGGGTAGAATTCCTAAACTTTATACTTTCCTTGTTTTGCCCACAAGAAGGCTGTGATGTGTCAGCCCCTTCATGATGGATGTTGCACAAAGCACAAATTCTAAGGACGTTTTGAGGCTGGTCTTGTAAAGCAGGCAGTAGAACAAGCTAATAACCAAAAGCCTTGCATAATTGTAAATATTTTTGAAACACTAGACAAATGTCTAGTTTAATGAAGAGAAGGATGAGGGGGGACATGATAACAGTGTTCCAATATCTCAGGGGCTGCCACAAAGAAGAGGGAGTCAAGCTATTCTCCAAAGCGCCTGAAAGCAGGATAAGAAGCAACGAGATGGAAACTAATCAAGGAGAGAAGCAACCTAGAACTAAGGAGAAACTTCCTGACAGTTAGAACAATTAACCAGGGGAACAACCTGCCTCCAGAAGCGGTGAATGCTCCAACACTGAAAGTTTTTAAGAAGAGGCTGGACAGCCATTTGTCCGAAATGGTGTAAGGTTTCCTGCCTGAGCAGGGGGTTGGACTAGATGACCTCCAAGGTCCCTTCTAACTTTTATTTTATTATTATTATCGATCATCGCACAGTCAGCCAGATGTTCAGACTGGATTTGGCATTTTGTCTACCTATCGAGTCCTTACCCAGGACCTGGGATAGGCAGATGTGGATGTTTGATGGTGTTACAGGTATCGTCGCAGGATGAAAGCAGTTCCTAATAAGGCTGCCTTTTGCAATTGACTAATAGCGAATTTGTCAATGCCAATGGTGTTCAAGTGGTGCTCCAGTTGTTTTGGAATTGCACCCAAGGAGCCTATGACTATTGGTACTACCCTTGCTTGCTTTTGCCACAGTCTTTCTATTTCTATTTGTAGGTCTTTGTATTTTGTTATCTTCTCCAGTTCTTTCTCCTCTATTCTGCTGTCTCCAGGCACTGCCACGTCCACTATCCAGACTTTTTTGTCTTTCTTATCGACAATTGTATTATTATTATTATTATTATTACCTGCCTGGAATCTTTCTGGCCTTGCACCCTCCAAAAACAGCAGGAGAGAGCAGCCCTTTTCCCACATGCTCTGCCCCATCTGATCTTTCTCATCTTCCATTTAGATTTTCACACTCACAACTCTGCATTGCTCCCTGTTGGACTTCATCTTGCTGGTTTCTTCCGTTTCGGCTCATCAAGATCTTCTTGAATCAGACTTCTATCCCCATTATTTTGTATCTTCAACAAATAATCCTATTTTTTCCTCCCTCTTCCAGGTCATTTATAGATTATGTTCAAAATATCTCTGTCGGCATCTAGACTTTTCCATTTCTCTTTGCAGATCAGTGGAGATGCGGCTATGAGCTCCACAGAGGAGAAGGGGCGTTCTTGGATCGGGACCCACAAACTTTTGGCTGGGCCTCCATTCTAGATAAATTGGAAATCGTGTCCTGGTTGGACAAGCGGCTTCCTGCACAAAGGGCCAATCGGTTAAGCAGAGATCAAACCGGTCAACAGTGAGGTTCATACCTGGTGTTGACTCAGAGAAGGAACAACTGACCCAGAGACCTCTTAGCTGCAACTTTAAAGGTGAGTAAACAAATCTTGGTTTGGAAAATAAGGATTTGTTATCGTTATTTGACAAAAGAGCAATGCAGAGAAATTGAGTTTTGCTCCCAAAATGACGGGTGATGTCGTAATGTAGCTCCATTAAGGAATACACGTTGAGGGCGGTTGGTCAGCCAGTTATGAATCCATCTGGTCGTGATGCTGTCTATCCCACAATTTTTCTATCTTACCAAGAAGTTGGCTGTGGTCTGCTTTGTCACGTGCCTTACTGAAGTCCAAGTATATTTTGTCCACAGAACATGGCTATTCCACTGATGCAATTCCACTGATTCAGTCACTTGGTCAAAGAATGCAGCAAGATTTGTCTGCCGTGATCTGTTTTTGACAAACCCACGTTGGCTTCTAATAATAGCTTTGTTTGTTTCTGTGTTTTCACAGATCCATTGCTTGATTCTCTTTTCCAGGATTTGCTCCTGGATCCATTTTTTTTGCCTTTCTTGTAGTTATTTTATAAAATATATAAAATGTGATGCACAGAAGCCAGAATAAAAAAGTCATGATGGGATGGAGCTCCTAAGTGAAAAAGTGAGGAGAAGCACAAAAAAAGGGATAAGGCAGTGGTGGGACTCAGCTAGTTTGCACCGCTTCGGAAGAACCAGTAGCTACTTTTTGGTTGCCCAGGCCCAGAATGGACTTCCAGAAGTGGCATCCACCCAGAGAACCGGTTGTTCACATATTTGAATCCCACCACTGGGATAAGAATCAAAAATGGGTTGCTTACATTAGCATGGACTCACTTTCCTTCTTCTTTGCTTCTGTAATGCCTTAGCTTTTTGTCTTAAAAGCAATATTGTGGAGGACATCAAGTGACAATAAAAGATGGATATCCCACCATGTCCTAAGGCAGGGGTAGGCAACCTTGGCTCTTTTATGACTCGTGGACTTCAACTCCCAGAATTCCTGAGCCAGCCATGCTGAGGGGAAAGGGAGAGGTTTCCAATCTGAGCCATGCTGGCTCAGGAATTCTGGGAGTTGAAGTCCATGAATCATAAAAGAGCCGAGGTTGCCTACCCCTGGTATATCCAGTAGTTAGTCCTGGACTTATGAACACAGTTAGCACTGGAATGCTGATCATTGAGCAATGTGGTCATTAAGTAAGAGGTCACGTGAGAGCTTCGCTCAGTGCCTGCAATCCTATACCCCTGGTTGTGGCTGTTAAGCGATTTCACATGTTGTTAAGCAGGTAAGGAATGTGCGGCTGTCTTAAGTGGGCAGAAGAAGCCTTGTGAGTCCCAGCACAGGACACGTTTGACTTCCGGGGCTCCTGGAGAAACTTAGAGATGCTTTTGGATCCGTTGCTTGGCAACGGTATGGAACAGGCGGCTTGGAGAGTGGCGCAAGGCTTCAGAGGCCTCCAGTCTGGGGATGAAGGCCTCGTTTCTCATTGCCAATGATGACACTGGGCCGAAGTCGAAGCCTGGCATCAGTGGCAGATGGCTGAAACTAGCCTCCATTTAAGGGCCAGCCCCATCCCAGCATTATTGTCAGTCAGGGCTGCTTTTCACGGCTGGACTTGGGTGGCTCAGGAATCCCAGAGTGGCCACAGCTTTTCATCCCACTTCGATAGCCCCCTAACTCATGGATGGGCTGTGCCTGGTTTCCAGGACCTCCTCTACCCCTGAAACGCCGCGTAGCCATTGCCTAGGCCAGGGGTAGGCAACCTTGGCTCTTTTACGACTCGTGGACTTCAACTCCCAGGATTCCTGAGCCAGCCATGCTGAGGGGAAAGGGAGAGGTTTCCAAGCTGAGCCATGGCTGGCTCAGGAATTCTGGGAGTTGAAGTCCACGAGTCACAAAAGAGCCAAGGTTGCCTACCCCTGGCCTAGGACTCCCTCCCTTCACTTCAGCACCTCTAGAAGATCACTTAACGACCACAACCAGGACTGTGAGACTAGGGTTAGTGAGTGAAGTGGCCATGTGACCTCTCCCTTAACTACTGCTTCACTGAGCGGCCGAGATTCCAATCCCAATTGTCGTCACAACTCCCTGTAGTTTAAGAGCTGCTTTTTCACCTTGCCATAGGACAAGAACCAAGAAGGAAGAGGTAGAGTCAATGAACAGCAGAAGAGTTTGCCTCATAGAGATGTGGATTGATGAAATCAATGGAGATTTTGTCTCAGAGATTTTGAACTGAGGACCCATACCTTGGGTAGAAGGTCAGACTGGAAGACCTTCAGGGTCCCTTCCAAGACGAAGGGTTTGGGATTCTCTACCTTTCTCAAAAGGAAATATTATTCTCCCTTTCTTTTTCTTTCTAACAGAGGATAAGAGATTTTGATCAAATATTCACCTGCAAGTCAACTATCAACACATAATAGAATATCAATGCAATGCAGCAGTCGTCAGAAAGGATGGAGCCTGGAAAACTCGTGGATCCCCCGTCAGACACAATCAGCACTCCGGAAAACCACAAAAAACCTCATGAATGCTCAGTGTGTGGGAAATCCTTTTCTCGCAGGTCCCGACTATTGATCCACAGGAAGATCCATGTGGGAAGTGGATCCAGTCAAGGTTTGGAGGGTGAGAAATCCTTCTCTGGAAAAGACGCCAAAGATCCCAGAAGCCCCTCCAGAGTAAAGCCCTATAAATGTGAGGAATGTGACTTATGCTTTGGTCAAAAGTCACACCTTCTTACACATCAGAAAATCCACACTGGAGAGAAACCTTATCAGTGTCTGGAATGTGGGAAATTTTTCCGTACAATAGGTAATGTCAAAGAGCATGAGAGGATTCACACAGGGGAGAAACCTTACAAGTGTTGGGAATGTGGGAAGAGCTTTTCTCAGAAGGCTGGTCTTAGGGCCCATGAGAAGATTCATGCAGGAATAAAACCTTACAAATGCTTTGAGTGTGGAAAATGTTTCACCCAGAGTTCAGCTCTTCGGAGTCATGAGAAAACACACAGCGGGGAGAAAAATGAAAAGTGCCTCGAATGCGGAAAATGTTTTTCCAGGAAATCAAACCTGGTGAAGCATCAGAGATATCACACCGGAGAAAAACCCTATGAATGCCCAGAATGTGAGAGACGATTTGTGGATTCTTCTGAACTTCGGAGACACCAGAAGTGGCACAAAGGAGAGCTACCTTATGAATGTGGGATGTGTGGGAAAAGTTTTCTTACACGAACAGAGATTCAGGCTCACGAGAGAATCCACACAGGGGAGAAGCCATTCAAATGTGGGGAGTGTGGGAAATGTTTTGCCAAAAAAGAAAATCTTGGAAGCCATCACAGAGTCCACACAGGAGAGAAGCCATACAGATGTGTAGAATGTGGGAAATGTTTTGGACACAAGGGAGCCCTTTGGAGACATCATAAAACCCACACAGGGGAGAAGCCACATCAATGCAACGAATGTGGAAAATTTTATCGTACCTCATCCGCCCTTAAATGTCATGTGAAAATTCACACAGGGGAAAAAAACCACAAATGTTTAGACTGTGGGAAAACATTTGCTCTGTCATTTAACCTTAGAAGTCACTGCCGAATCCACACAGGAGAAAAGCCCCATAAATGCTCGGAGTGCCATAAATGTTTTTCTCAAAAAAGGTCTCTTTTGAAGCATCAGCAAATCCACACTTGAGAAAAAACAAATGTCTAGAGAGAGGAAAATGATTTGCCCAACGTTCAGCACTTCGCGCGCACACCCGAAATCACACAGCAGAGTGGCCTTACAAGTGTGCAGAGTGTGAGAAAACTTTTCGTTGTAAACCACAATTAAAAAAGCACCAGAAAGTCCATAGCAGAGATAAATCCCTTCGGTTGTGAACAGTGCAGGTGCAACATCAGAGATTTCACACTGGAGAGAGACCCTCTGAAGGCCCAGAATGTGTGAGAAGCAATTTGTTGAGTCTTCTGAACTTTGGACATTCCAGAAGGGGCACAAAAGGGTGAAACCCTATAAATGTAGGGAATGTGGGAAAAAATTTATTTCACAGTAACGTGTTCATAGTCATGAGAATATCCACATACGGGAGAAGCCATTCAAATGTGTGGAGTATGGGATGTGCTTTTCTGAAAAACAATATCTCAGTAGAGTATTCTTCAAGATTATTTGTAATAAGAGAAGATAAGAAATGACGGGTGATGGAACGGGAGGGAAAGTTCGCACTTCAAACTAATTGGAGAATGTGATTGTTGTTGTTGTTGTTAATTGCGAAGTCGTGTCCGACCCATCGCGACCCCATGGACAACATTCCTCCAGGTTTTCCTGTCCTCTACCATCTTCTGGAGTCCATTTAAATTCACACCTACTGCTTCAGTGACTTCATCCAGCCATCTCATTCTCTGTCGTCCCCTTCTTCTATTGCCCTCAATCTTTCCCAGCATTAGGCTCTTCTCCAGTGAATCCTTCCTTCTCATTAGGTGGCCAAAGTACTTGAGTTTCAACTTCAGGATCTGGCCTTCTAAAGACCAGTCGGGGTTGATCTCTTCTAGGACTGACCGGTTTGAACGCCTTGCAGTCCAAGGGACTCGCAGGAGTCTTCTCCAGCACCATAGTTCAAAGGCCTCAATTCTTTGGCGCTCAGCCTTTCTTATGGTCCAACTTTCACAGCCATACATTGCAACTGGGAAAACCATGGCCTGGACTATACGCACTTTTGTTGGCAGGGTGATGTCTCTGCTTTTTAGTATGCTGTCTAGATTTGCCATAGCTTTCCTCCCCAGGAGCAAGCGTCTTTTAATTTCTTGGCTGCAGTCCCCATCTGAGGTGATCTTGGAGCCCAGAAAAATAAAATCTGTCACTACCTCCATTTCTTCCCCATCTATTTGCCAGGAATTGAGAGGGCCGGATGCCATGATTTTGGTTTTCTTAATGTTGAGTTTCAAGCCAACTTTTGCACTCTCCTTCTTCACCCGCATCAAGAGGCTCTTTAGTTCCTCTTCACTTTCTGCCATTAGAGTGGTATCATCTGCATATCTTAGGTTGTTGATATTTCTCCCGGCAATCTTAATTCCAACTTTTGATTCATCTAGCCCTGCCTTTCTCATGATGTGCTCTGCATATAAGTTAAATAGGCAGGGCGACAGTATACAGCCTTGCCGGACTCCTTTTCCAATTTTGAACCAATCAGTGGTTCCGTGTTCGGTTCTCACTGTTGCTTCTTGACCCGCATATAGGTTTCTCAAGAGACAAATGAGATGGTCTGGTACTCCCATCTCTTTAAGAACTTGCCACAATTTGTTGTGATCCACACAATCAAAGGCTTTTGCATAGTCAATGAAGCAGAAGTAGATGTTTTTCTGGAACTCCCTAGCTTTCTCCATGATCCAGCGTATGTTGGCAATTTGATCTCTAGTTCCTCTGCCTCTTCGAAATCCTGCCTGTACTTCTGGTAGTTCTCGATCCACATACTGCTGGAGTCTAGCTTGTAGGATTTTAAGCATAACTTTACTAGCATGTGAAATGAGTGCAATGGTGCGATAGTTTGAACATTCTTTGGCATTGCCTTTCTTTGGAATTGGAATGTAAACTGACCTTTTCCAATCCTGTGGCCACTGTTGAGTTTTCCAAATTTGCTGGCAAATTGAGTGTAGCACTTTTACTGCATCGTCTTTTAAGATTTTGAATAGCTCAGCTGGAATACTGTCACCTCCACTAGCTTTGTTGTTGCTCAGACTTTCTAAGGCCCATTTCACTTCACATTCTAGGATGTCTGGTTCGAGGTCAATGACCATCTCATTGTGGTTGTCTGGGATGTTAAGCTCATTCTTGTATAGTTCTTCTGTGTAGTTTTGCCATCTCTTCTTAATCTCTTCTGCCTCTGTTAGGTCTATGCCATTTTGGTCCTTTATCATGCCCATCTTTGCATGAAACGTTCCCTTCATATCTCCAATTTTCTTGAAGAGATCTCTGGTCCTCCCTATTCTGTTGTTTTCTTCTATTTCTTTGCACTGTTCATTTAAGAAGGCATTCTTATCTCTTCTAGCTATTCTCTGGAATTCTGCATTCAATTGGGTGTATCTTTCTCTTTCTCCTTTGCCTTTCGCTTCCCTTCTTTCCTCAGCTATTTGCAAAGCTTCCTCAGACAGCCATTTTGCTTTCTTGCATTCCTTTTTCTTTGGGATGGTTTTAGTTGCTACCTCTTGTACAATGTTGCGAACTTCCATCCATAGTTCTTCAGGCACTCTGTCTATCAGATCTAATTCCTTAAATCTATTTGTCACCTCTACTGTATATTCATCAGGAATATGATTTAGTTCATACCTGAGTGGCCTAGTGCTTTTCACTACTTTTTTCAATTTAAGCCTAAATTTTGCAACGAGAAGCTCATGATCTGAGCCACAGTCAGCTCCTGGTCTTGTTTTTACTGACTGTATAGAGCTTCTCCATCTTTGGCTGCAGAGCACATAGTCAATCTGATTTCTATGTTGACCGTCTGGTGATGTCCATGTGTAGAGCCGTCTCTTGGGTTGTTGGAAAAGAGTGTTTGTTATGACCATCGTATTCTCTTGACAAAATTCTATTAGCCTGTGCCCTGCTTCATTTTGTACTCCAAGGCCAAACTTGCCTGTTATTCTGGTTATCTTTTGGCTTCCTACCTTAGCATTTCAATCCCCCATGATGATAAGGACATCATTTTTTGGTGTTAATTCTATAAGGTGCTGTAGGGCTTCATAAAACTGGTCAATTTCATCCTCTTCAGCTCCAGTGGTTGGGGCATAGATTTGGACTATTGTGATATTGAATGGTTTGCCTTGGATTCGAATTGAGATCATTCTGTCATTTTGGGATTGTATCCCAGTATTGCTTTTCCTATTCTTTTATTGACTATGAAGGCTACTCCATTTCTTCTGAGGGATTCTTGCCCACAGTAGTATACCTGATGGTCATCTGAGTTAAATTCACCCATTCCTGTCCATTTTAGTTCGCTGATTCCTAAGATGTCGATGTTCAGTCTTGTCATCTCTTTTTTGACTACGTCTAGCTTGCCTTGATTCATGGATCTTACATTCCAGGTTCCTATGGAGAAAAAATCTTTACAGCATCGGACTTTCCTTTCACCACCAGATATATCCACAGCTGAGCGTCCTTTCGGCTTTGGCCCAGTCGCTTCATTCTTTCTGGCGCTACTAGTACTAGCCCTCTGCTCTTCCCCAGTAGCATATTGAACACCTTCCGACCTGAGGGGCTCATCTTCCAGCGTCATATCTTTTATCCTTTTAGTACTGTCCATGGGGTTTTCATGGCAAAGATACTGGAGTGGTTTGCCATTTCCTTCTCCAGTGGATCACATTTTGTCAGAACTCTCTGCTATAACCTGTCCGTCTTGGGTGGCCCTGCACGGCATAGCTTATAGCTTCATTGAGTTACGCAAGCCCCTTCGCCACGACAAGGCAGTAATCCATAAAGGGGAGAATGTGATTAATGACTGTTAAATGGAGGAGTGAATTATGCTTCAGTACTATGTGTTTAGGGGAGGAGATTTCAGATTTTGGCTTCGCCTATGTATGTGCCGAAGCTATGTTGCTCAATTAAAGATTCTTTAAGGTAAACAATGCCTCAAAGTTCTTCAAAGAGTTTCATCTTTCGGAACCATGACATCTGGCTTATAAGCAAGTACTTTGGAGCCATCAGAAAATTCACCCCGGAGAGAAGCCCTTTAAGTGCATTAATTGTGGAAGATTTTATTGTATCACATCAGCCCTTAGAAGTCACATGAAAATTCACCCAGGGGGAAAAAAAAAGTACACGTTTTGAGTGTGTGAAAACTTTTCCTTCTCAACTATCCCTTAACGTCACACCCAGATAAAGCATACAGGAGAGAAGACAGACAGAGGGGAGAAAAACGAAACACGTCTTGAACGAGGGAAATGTTTTTGCAGGAAATCAAGCCTGGTGCAACGTCAGAGAATTCCCACCGGAGAAAAACCCTATGAATGCCCAGAATGTGAGAGACAATTTGTGACCAAACGATGCACAAAGGAGAGAAACACTATAAACGTGAGGATTGTGGGAAATGGTTTTTTTCTGCCCTTTAGAGATCACGGCCGAATCCATAGAGGAAAGAAAGCTTATCAATGCTTCAAGTGTGATAAATCATTTTCTCAGAAAAATAGACTTTTGGTGTATCAGTGAACCCACGCTGGAGAAAACCAGTGTGAATTTCTGAGGTGTGGCAAACATTTTCTTTGCAAAGAATATCTTAGGAAGTCCAACAACGTTACACAGCAAGAAAATTTCACAAATGCTTTGATTGTGGGAGAGCAATTGCTTGTCCATCATCCCTTAAACATCACAGCTTAATCCATACATGAGAGATTGCACATCAGTGCTTGTGATGTACTGTATTTTCCGGCGTATAAGACGACTCGGCATATAAGACGACCCCTGACTTCGGAGAAGATTTGCATGGTTAGAAAGTCGTCTTATACGCCGGAAAATACAGTATTTTCCGGCATATAAGACGACTCAGCGTATAAGATGACCCCTGACTTTGGAGAAGATTTGCATGGTTAGAAAGTCATCTTATACACCGGAAAATACGGTATGTTTTGCCCAGAAGGATACGCTTTTTTAGCCTCTGCAGAAAAGCCATTCAGTTGTGAACAAGTGGGAAATGTTTTGCCGATAAAGCTTTGTTAAATTTTAGGAAAAAATACAAATACAAAAACGAAAAGGAAAAGGGAATGGGGTAGGGGAAAAGGAAAAGTGTTGAGTGCAGACAAACGGGAAAAAGCTATAGAGAAAAGGAAACCTTCATCAGCATGGCAGTTTCCCCCCCCCCCAGTTTTGTATATTTCATGTACACCAAAGCGTCCACACAGGAGAGATTCCCCAAATGCTTCAGCAGAAATCATAATTTTATTTCTGATTTTTTAATTTTTCATTTTAGATATTAAGATTTTGGGGTCCCGAAGAGAAGAAGGAAACTCCGTTTAGATGCCTCAGATAATACGAGGTCATGGAAATTGCCTTGTGATTCCGTTGCAACTAAAATGACAGGGAGATCCCCTTTTCCTCTTGAATGTGTATTTACCTTCCAGCCAGCCCAGAGCCCAAGGACCTCCTGGTAGTCTCCCATCCAGCACTGCTGAGCTTTCTTAGAGTGGCCAAGGCTGGCCAGGTGTGGCCTCTTAGCTGAGACAAGCACAGTGAAAGGGAGGGTCTCTCTCTGGGTCTGGCAAGATGGGGTTAAGGCAAGTCAGGAGCCCAGTTAAAAGTCAGGAGCTTCTCAGAGAAAAACTGCAAAGAGGGAAAGGGTTTGCGCTAAGTGAC